CACACACACCCACACACACACACACACACTCACACACACACACACACACACTCACACACACACACACAACTGACAGTGTAACAGATGATTTGTAATGTGGTGTGTGTGTGTGTGACGTGCTCAGCTAGACTCCTGCATTACTGTATTATCACTCCATGCAGCTCTGGATCTCTCATAGGGAGATTATCAATAATATTGATGTCATAACCGCAGACAGAGATAATCAGACTCTGACAGACAGACACAGAGCGACTGAAACATGAACGGAGACAGAAGACGTGATCAGCTTCATGTTACATTACATTGCAGTCGAGTCGCTTCACTGTCTGGTGGCATAGTGGAAATTCCTTTCATTTTTTGACAAGTGCTGCTCAACATAAACTTACTGTTTACATTAAAACATGGAAGAAATATTGGGATATTTTTTAAACACTTTTATGCTGTTTTATTAGTATTATTATTGCTTTGAGAAGTATCAATACATTTTTGTAACAATTTCTTCAAGTTAAACTGAACTTTTATTTTGGCGGGTTGTAGTGAAGATCTCTGAGTTTTGTGTGCATCTCCCGATAGTTTTCGCAAAGCAAATGGTGAAATGCTGCTGAAGTGAGTCTCAGATGAAGTTCATGTGCTCATACAGTGAGATGCAGACATGCATCACGTGTGTTTCAGTGCATGTATTACAGCAAACTGACACACACACAACATGCAGATTCACATTCACACAGCAGTGCTGTAATATTCACACACACTACTGCATAAGTGTGCAGCCCTACGTTTGATTCATTCATCCAAATGTTGCCAAGTTCCATTTTTATGAGCAGGTTTTGCTGGGATCTCCTCATGCTGCTGCTGATGGTGGGAAACCTCATCATCCTCCCGGTGGGAATCACCTTCTTCAAGGACGAGAACACTCCTCCGTGGATCATCTTTAATGTGGTGTCGGACACGCTCTTCCTGGTGGATCTGGTGCTGAACTTCCGCACCGGGATCGTGAAAGAGGACAGTACGGAGATCCTGCTGGACCCCAAGGCCATCCGCCAGCGCTACCTGAAGAGCTGGTTCCTCGTGGACTTCGTGTCCTCGATCCCGGTGGATTACATCTTCCTGATGGTGGACCTGGAAGCTCACCTGGACTCAGAGGTCAGTCTCTCTCTCAGTAGATGGCATTTTCTTGATTCAGTAATTTCACTATAGTATTTTTCATGAATAAATAAATATATGAAGTGTAACAGTGTAACCAGCAGTGCACTCTGTAATCTGGTAAGTTTGTGTGCTCTGGGAATCGTATTTGTTTAAATAAAGACAGTAAAGTAATGAAGATGGAGAATAGGAGCTCTGTGCTGGTTCTCAACATTCAAATATCTCCATTTGTGTTCCACAGAAGAAAGAAAGAAAATCATACAAGTTTGGAACAACATGAGGCCTAATGATCATTTTTAGCTAAACTATCCCTTTAACCAACAGGCCATCCATGGTCAAGTCAAGTCACATTTATTTCTGTTGCACTTCATGCAATGCAGATTGTTTTAAAGCAGCTTCACATTAACAAACTATACTTTGCTATAAGTTTGATTGCATCATATAATAATTGCTGTTAATAGTGTTCATCGTCTGTTTGATTACATCTTTAATTGATTTTTCGGTACATTTCTGCCATATGTACATAAACTGACAGTCACCACTGATAAGCTACCACTAAATATTGTAGAAACTTCATTTGCTGTAAAGTTGCTTTGCAATGATTTGTATCGTGAAAACTGCTATACAAATAAACTTGAATTGAACAAACAGGAAAATAACAGTCTGAATGTTGTAAAATTCATCAAATATGAAACCAGTTTTTAGCTGTAAAGCAGCTCTACAGAAGACAATAGAGTCATTATTCAGATCAATTCAGTTTGGTTTTTATCCAGCAATGTCAGTGCAGATAAATCAATAATATTACTGAGTATGAAGTCTCTTTTAAATAAGAACTTCAGCAG